GGCTGTGGGCTTGCTGACTGCGGCTGGCAGGCTGCGGCTTGCTGGCTGTAAGCCTGTGGCTTGCTGTAGGCCTGTGGGCTGGCTACTGGCCTGTGGGCTGGCTAACTGGCTGGCTACTGGCCTGTGGGCTGGCTAACTGGCTGGCTACTGGCCAGCCTGTGGGTTGGCTGGCTGGCTACTGGGGCACTTGTAGATTATTTAAAGAAATAATCCATGCACAATAACCACTACTGCTCCAGAGTAAGTAGTCAAACCGTTTAAGAACAGTTTGACAACTTACCTGGGGTCTGCTGAGATATGAGGCTGTAGTAGGGAATAGGAGCAGTGGTGCAATGTGTGTGAAAGGTTCAGTGTGTGTGTGGGGGTGTAGTGTGTGAATGTGTAGGTTGTGTGGGCAGTGTATGTGTGTGGCAATGTTAGTATGGGGGGCTGTGTATGGGGGTCTGTGTGTATATGGGTGGGCAGTGTATGTGTGTGTGTGAGGCAATGTGTGTAAATGTGTATGGTGTGTATGGGGCAGTGTGTGAATGTGTATGGTGTGTGTGTGGGGGCAGTGTGTTTATGGGGCTAGAGTTCATTCTCACCACTGCGACCACCAGGAATCCATGGGGGTTACAGTGTTGAGAGTGAACTCTAGCCCGTAGCTCCAGGGCTAGAGTTGACTCTCGCAAGAGCAGTAACGTTGCCATGGTAACCGCGGCAACGCTCTGTGCTCGGGCAAGAAGGACCCAGAGGAGCTGCAGGGTGAGCTCCCAGGTCCTCTCTTCCTCCCCTGCCCACACGGTGCCTGCGGACAGGGGAGGGGGGGCATTCTTCCCTCTCTTTCTCCCCCCTCCCCCAACTCTCTATTCCCCCTCTTTCTCCCCGTGTCTCATTCTTCCCTCTCTGTCTCTTTCTCCCCCTCCCCATCTCTCTATTACCCCTCTTTCTCCCCGTGTCTCATTCTTCCCTCCCAATCTCTCTATTCCCCCTGTGTCTCATTCTTCCCTCTCTCTCTTTCTCCCCCTCCCCATCTCTCTATTCCCCCTCTTTCTCCCCGTGTCTCATTCTTCCCTCTCTGTCTCCCCCTGTGTCTCATTCTTCCCTCTCTTTCTCCCCATCTCTTTATTGCCCCCCCTTTCTCCCCCTTCCCCATCTCTATGTCCCCCCTCCCCATCTCTCTATTCCCCCTCTTTCTCCCCCCTCCCCATCTCTCTGTTCCCCCCTCACTCAAGTCAGAGGGGGCCGGCCGTTTCATGCTGCAGCCGCCGGACCGGGTGGCAGCCTCGCCGGTCCGGCGGCATTCCACTCACTAACGCTGAAGGAGGAGGAGGAGGAGGATGTGTCTGTCATGCTCCTTTGCGGTTCCCACATCCTGTGCTGGGAATTGTGGGAACCGCAGGGAGCATGACAGACACATGCTCCTCCTCCTCCTTCTTCTTCAGTGTTAGTGAGAGGAATGCCGCCGGACCGGCGAGGCTGCCACCCGGTCCGGCGGCTCCAGCATCAAACGGCCGCCCCCCTCACAGTGTGCCACCGGACCGGCCACCCGGTGGCACCTGCAGTCCCCAAATGCCGCCCCCAATCCAGCCCTGCCGCCAGGGCCCCCTGAAGGCGGCCCTGGCGGCGGGCCCCCCTCCCGGCCGGGCCCTCGGACCGTGTCCGAAGTGCCCGACCGGTCAGTCCGCCCCTGACTATGCAAAATATACAATACCCAGGGTATATTTCCATAACCCAAGTATTCTGGCTCTGTGAGGCGTGCTGCTTCAGCTCAGATTGATGAGGGGATCTGAAGATATTCATCCCATCCTCACACACTCAGCGGGTTATCTGCTCAAGTAAATGTGAATAAAATTCATATATTTTTACTCCTGGTTCTCCTTTTATACAGAGAGCACTATTGTTGCTTTTTATTTTATTTGGGTCCTATCAACATCTTGTTGCCGAGAGACATGTTGACCACATCTTTAAAAAGTACCCTACAAATGGGGACTTATACCACCACACTAAAGCTGGTTTAAGCTCTGTCCAATGTGAGTAAAATGTCTCCGTACTTAATTTTCAAGACTTATTGCACTATTGGAGTTTCTCTGCTCTCCTTTTTTTTATATATATATATATTTCCAAGGACCAAGAGTATTCCTGTGACAAGACACTTCCACTAAGAAGAGATCTTCCCCATAAGAATCTGTGTTGGATTTTATGCACTACGAGAATATCATACCTTTATCTCCCACATTTATTTTCCGATATACAGTTGCAAGAAAAAGTATGTGAACCCTTTGGAATTATATGGATTTCTGCACAAATTGGTCATAAAATGTGATCTGATCATCATCTAAGTCACAACAATAGACAATCACAGTCTGCTAAACTAATAACACACAAAGAATGAAATGTTGCCATGTTTTTATTGAACACACCATGTAAACATTCACAGTGCAGGTGGAAAAAGTATGTGAACCCCTAGACTAATGACATCTCCAAGAGCTAATTGGAGTGAGATGTCAGCCAACTGGAGTCCAATCAATGAGATGAGATTGGAGCACCTCGAACACGTTTTTGTGGTCAGTCAAGGCGTGCCCTCTAACAAATGCCTCCATTCTTTCAAGGCATTATCGCTAGTAATTCCCTGTCTCCTATCTCATATCTCCTTTCTGTGTCCGTCAGTTTCCTAGAATACAAACCGCAAGGATGCAAGGGTTTATCAGGATTCTTTCTTTGGGATAATATAGCTCCTACCCCTGTCTCAGAAGCATCAACCTCTAACAAATAAGTCAACGTGGGGTCTGAATGTACCATTATAGGAGCAGAGGCAAAGGACTTTTTTAGGGCATCGAATTGGCTTCTGTCTTGGTCATATTAGTAATCGGAGCGATTATGGAAGAGAAACATTTAATGAACATCCTGTAATAATTAGAAAAATCTTTGTATGGCCTTCAGTCCAGTAGGTAGACGCCATTGAAGTATGGATTCTAGTTTAGTTAAATCCGTAGCAAATCCAGAGTCTGTTCAGAGCCATCTTAACAAGCATATGGTTTGTCTCCTTGTCTTTTGAATAAATCAAAAATGTCATCCTGGTATCATCCATTTATACAATAGCACATTCATGTAAGAATTCCCTTAGTACATAATTAATTAGATCCTGGAAGACAGCAGGAGCATTACATAACCCGAAAGGCATGATGGTATACTCATAATGTCCGTAACAGGTTTTAAAAGCTGTCTTCCATTCATATCCCCGGCATATTCTGACTAAATTATATGCTCCTTGAAGATCCAATTTAGTGAAAATGGCAGCCCTTTTTAGTCTATCAAATAGTTCAGTTATCAAGGGTATGGGATATGCATTCCTAATCTTGTGATGAAGACTTCCTGATAAACCCTTTCTTAATCTTTACTTTTATATATTCCTACAAAACGGTGTTCTCCTTAGCAGAGAGGGAATACTCTGTACCTCTACCAGGGCCAGATTAAGAGCCCAGTGGGTCTGGTGTTGACAGTTATGATGGGCCTATTAACAGAATCCTATCGACCAAAAACACTAAAACAATCATAGCTCCCAAGCATCATGTATCTGATGGAGATGGTGTTGGAGGGAAACTCAAAGGATGAAGCTATACGAAAACACATACTCTATACTAATCTCTCTCTAATTTATGCTTTCATCTTTCAAGTAAATCCATGTCCCCTAACAGCAGAGTTCAGTGAAGCAGGAAGTCAATGGGCAGGGTAAAAGGGTGGGCCACTGGCATGCGAATCATGTGACCAGACCTGCCAAAAGAGGTGAACATGCCCAAAAAGGGGGCATGTCTTCCTAAAGAATTGGAAGGCCAGCCTGGCATGAATGCATGTCAGGCTGCCTGCCAATCATGCAGGCTGTCCAACTAAGGGCATACTATGCAGGCAGCACCCTGAGCTTGACATAAATGCATCAAATGATGCGCCTACTCCACGTTTTCTAAGGACTGTCCCCTAGCACTCACATGTCCACTTGTCACCTTATCTTCTTACTAGCAGGCATAAGTTCCTGGTATAGAGTCTGGGACAGAGAAAAGGTGTATGTAGTGAGTGTGGAAGAAAGGGGACATGCCACAGTGTTAGAGAGACCAAAGTCTGCATTATCTAAACTAATTTTATTGTCAGCCAGTCCACACAAGTGTTGTTCCCATGCATCCCTCTTAAGCTTCCAACCTTAAAGGGACACTATAGTCACTAGAACAACTACAGCTTATTGTATTTGTTCTGGTAAGCAGAATCATTCCCTTCAGGCTTTTTGTACTGTCTTTTCAGAGAACATAACTCTGATGGGCACTCCTTAGATGGCTGCTAGATGTACTTCCTGGGGCAGTACTGCCTAGTGTACAGCACTGCCATTCAGTGTCTCCACCCTCTGCATGCAGACACTGAACTTTCCTCATAGAGATGCATTGAATACATTTATCTTTATGAGGAGATGCTGATTGGCCAGGGCTGTGTTTGACTTGTGCTGACTCTGCCCCTCATCTGCCTAGTTGACAGTCTCAGCACATCCTATGGGGAAGCATTGTCATTTGCTTAGACCACCACTTCTGATGATGTCAGCAGACAGAGACAGTTCAGAGGCAGAGCCTGCAGCTGCAGACTTAAATGCAAGTAAGATTTTACTATATTTAGTGAGGCAAGAGGGGATCAGGGGGGCTAGATGGTGGTTTTAACATAATAGGTTCAGAAATACATGATTGTGTTTCTGACCCTATAGTGTTCCTTTATTCAAGAGTATGTGAAGAGTAGTTAGGGTTTCCACCTTTCTTGGAAAAAAATACCAGCCTTAATCATTTGTATAATTAATTAGTTATACGTGACATCACATGATGTAAATCACAAGGAGTGACATAAGAGAAAATTCAGCAAAATCACAAACAAACTACTTACAGTTTGATTCTGCTGTATAGATGGATTGCTCCCAGTGTCTCCCTGTCTCACTGCGTGTCCGTCTCGCAAGTCACCCAGTCTCTCAGTGTCCCTATGTATCACAGTGTCAGTGTCCCCATGTCACCCAGTCTCCCAGTGTTCCCATTTCTCTCAGTGTCTCTATGTCTCAGTGTGTCCCATGTCACTAGGATACTAGGGGACACAGTGAGGCATGGGTACACTGAGAGACCCGAGTATCACTGAGACACTTGGGGACACTGGGAGACATGGGGCACTGAGACACTTGGGGACACTGGGAGACATGGGGACACTGAGTCACTAGGGACACTGGCTTGGGGGAAATGGGGACACTGGAAGACATGGGGACACTAATTTCTCTGTGTCCCAATGTCTCAGTGTCTCCCATTGTCCCTATGTCTCACAGTGTCCCCATGTGTCTCAGTGTCCCCATGTCTCACAGTGTCCCCTAGTGTCTCAGTGTCCCCATGTTTTCCAGTGTCCCCAAGTATATCAGTGTCCCCAGGTTTTGTGGTATCCCCTAGTGTCTGTATCCCCATGTGTCCCCTAGTGTCTCAGTGTCCCCATGTCTCCCTGCTGCCTTTCCCCCCATCCCTCACTTACCTGTGCTGTGTAGCTGCTCCCGCAAGGATCAGTGAGTAATAGAGAGAGGCAGGGAGGGATATGCTGTAACTTCCTATACCTGCCTCTCTCTACACACTGGCCGGTGCTGGTATTGCAGATAAATCTCCGTTTATACTGAGAAAAATAGCTGCATTTGTATTGCCAGCATCACTGCAATACTGGCACGGCCAGGCAGCCTCAAATACCGGCTGTGCCAGTAAAATACCAGTCAGGTGGCAAACCTAAGAGTAGTGTGTAAAAAAAAAAAAAAAAAGTTTTTTTTTTTTTTTTTAAATGGGCCTATTCCATGGGCCTGGGCCTGGGCCTGGAGCTGCAGCTCCATCAGCCCCTATGTTAATCCGGCCCTGCATAGTGCCTTGCAATAGATCAATAGCACCGTCGTTAGCTCTATGAGGAGGTAGTGACTCGGCCCTTCCTTTATCAATGACTTCTTCAATATTCAAGTAAGGTTCAGGAACCATAGTGGACAAGGGAAGCATAGCAGGAACATTTATAAGTAACAATGGTTTTACTTTTCACAGTCATGGAATGTATGGTTAGGGTTGCATGGATAAATTATTTAACTTCTAAATGTCAATGAATTGAGCAGTGAGACTACAGGGAAACAATCTATACATCATAACCTAAAGTTGTCTTCGTGCCTAGTGTGTCCCGTTAAGCACATTAAAACAAGAAA